GGCCCAGCCCAGGCAGTTATCAGGTTCTAGAATAACAGCTTTCCAGGAGGAGAGCCTAGCGCCAGGGCTCAAGCCTCACTTGGGGAAGGCCCTTGTGTGTCTGCCCTCCCTGCATTCAGCATTGCCCGTTCACTCCCAGCCCCCAAGGCTTCTGGTCACAGGCTGGGGAAGGACAGGAGACAGACTGAACAATCTTCGTGAAGCTACCTTGGACAGGGTCAGAGCTAAAAAAATTTAGCTGCTCTCACCAATCTGTTAAAGGACAGATCCTTGGTCTCTGCTTACCATCTGAGTCATGGGTTCAAGTCTTTTTTTTTTTTGTCATCGGAGTCTCACTCTGTCGCCCAGGCTGAAATGCAGTGGCACACTCACGGCTACTGCAGCCTTGACTCAGGTGATCCTTCCGCCTCAGCTTTCCAAGTAGCTGGAACTACAGGCAGGCACCCCCATGCCTGGCTAATTTTTTGATTTATTGTAGAGATGAGGTCTCACCAAGTTGCCCAGGCTGGTCTTGAACCCATGGGTTCAGGCAGTCCTCACCTTGGCCTCCCAAAGTGCTGGGATTATGGGCATGAGCTACTGCACCCGTTGGTCTTTTTTTTTTTTCTCTTTTTAGTTAGAAATGGGGTCACACTATGTTGCCCAGGCTGGTCTCAAACTCCTGGCCTCAAGTGATCTTCCCACTTTGGCCTACCAAAGTGCTGGGATTACAGGCATGAGCTACTGTGCCCAGCCTAAGTTCAAGTCATTTTTTTTTTTTAGTTGGAGTCTCACTCTGTCACCCAGGCTGGAGTGCAGTGGCATACTCATGGCACTGCAGCCGCGACCTGCTGAGCTCAGTTCATCCTTCCACCTCAGCCTTCCAAGTAGCTGGAACTACAGGTGGGCACCACCATGCCTGGCTAATTTTTTTTTTGGAGTTGGAGTCTCACTCTGTCGCCCAGACTGGAGTGCAGTGGCCGCTCCCGGCCACCGCAGCCTCGACCTGCTGGGCTCTGGCGATCCTTCCGCCTCAGCCATCCAGGTAGCTGTAATTACAGGCGTGGGCTACCATGCCTGGCTGATTTTTGATTTATTGTAGAGATGAGGTCTCGCCAGGTTGCCCAGGCGGGTCTCGAACCCGTGGGCTCAGGCAATCCACTCACCTCAGCCTCCCAAAGCGCGGGATTACAGGTTGAGCCATCGAGCCCGGCTGCTAATTTTTTGCTGTATTGTAGAGATGAGGTCTTGCCAAGTTGCCCAGGCTGGTCTCGAACCTGTGGGCTCAGGCAATCCTCTCACCTCGGCCTTCCAAAGTGCTGGGATTATAGGTGTGAGCCACCGTGCCCGCCCACCCCCTTCCTTTACATGCCTGCCCCACTACCTTCCTCCTTCTCTTTTCTGACACGTGTCAGGACCTCTTCAAGTCTGATATGCCTTAAGGTAGATAGAGCAAAAGCCTCCTTTTCCTTTCACACCCTCCCTTTGTTTAGTGTTGGGGCAAAGGTCTCTCCTGGCTGTTCATTCATTGGGGTCCAATGAGAAGGCATCAGGTGGGGTTCTGCCCTTGTGTTTCTCATTGGCTGGATGAGTGACTTAAAAGCAAACAGCTTTCCATTGCTCTCTACAGGTATTATTTTGGGTCTGTGCCTCCCAACACCCCTAAGAGAAAGTCATCACCCCCAGTTTTTGGAGAAGGGAGCCAAGGCACAAAGTGGTTAAGCCATTTGTCTAAGTGACACAGTGCTAAACTCATAACTCCACACCTGCTCACATAACCACCAATCCACACGGCCTCTCCTTTCAACCAGGTGCTGTGTCATCCCTTGCTGTTCCAAAGTGGATGTCTGCAGAGGTAAAAAGTTGTCCTGGTTCCTAGACCCTGTTTGGTAGTGCCATTTGAAGAAGTTTGTGTTTACTCTGCAACCTTGCTCTGCATCTGGAAGATGGAGATTGCTCCTGAGGCAGAAGGCCTGGAGCTGCTTGCAGTCTTGCAATCATCATCACGAAATTGGAAGATTTGGGCTGGGCACAGTGGCTCATGCCTATAATCCCAGCACTTTGGGAGGCCAAAGTGAGAGGAATTGCCTGAGCCCACGGGTTGGAGACCAGCCTGGGCAGCTTGGCGAGACCTCATCTCTACAATAAATGAAGAAAAATTGGCTGGGCATGATGGCATATGCCTGTAGTTCCAGCTATTTTGAAGGCTGAGGCAGAAGGATCACCTGAACCTAGCAGGTCAAGGCTGCGGTGACCATGAACATGCACTCTAGCCCGGGCAACAGAGTGAGACTTCAACTTGAAAAATAAAAAAAAAAAGGAAGATTTGGTGATAATGAAATTATCACCTGGAGCCAGGTGCGGTGGCTCACACCTGTAATCCCAACACTTTGGGGCAAGAGGATTGCTTGAGCCTAGGAGTTTGAAACCAGCCTGGGCAGCATAGCAACTTCATCTCTACAAAATATTTAAAATTAGCCGGGCATGGTGGCATGTGCCTGTAGACCCAGCTACTTGGGAGGCTGAGGCAGAAGGATCACCTGAGCCTGGGAAGTCGAGGCTGTGGTGAACCATGATTGTGCCATTGCACTCCAGCCTGGGTGATAGAGTAGAAACCCAACTCAAACAAAACAGAACAAAAAAGAAATTACCCTGGATTTGGACAGGGCCTTCTTGCAAGAGCCAGCAACGTCCGTGTATTTCCTGCAGCATTCTGGCATTTCTGGAAAGGAGGCATAGAGATGGTCATGTCTGCCACAAGGGCGGACCTTGTTGCCAGCTCAGGCGGGCAGCAGATTAGCATTGGTGGTTTGCTTCCTTGGCAAGTTTGAGACCAGCTATTGGATTCAGCCCTGTCCCACTGGCCACAACCAGACTCTTCGGTGCTCGTGGGCTGAACTTTGGGTTGGGGGCCTGAGGTCACCTGCTGCTCACCCTGACTCCTGGGCCTTAGTAATTCTTGGCTTTCCTGCCCTCGGGTGGAATGAGGTGATGAGTGGAGAGTGTCTGGAAGATAAGTGCTAGGCACTCACATACACCTAGGAGACTAAATAGTGCCCAGGATTCTCTGCCAGGCAAGTGCCTGGTGGCTGGTTTGGCCTCATCACTGCTAGCTGAGTCCCTCACTCCCTGCATTCTCCTCCACCTTTTCCTCAGCCAGGCAGGGCTGCTGTGGTGGCTGTGTTTCCAGCTGTCCTCGCAGAGTATGTCTGTGAAGATGCAGAGGGACTGTCTCACCGGGAGCCAGAGGGATATTTCAGCAGGGTCTGGACTTTATGTGTTTGATGGGAAGGGACAGACTATGACTGAACTGAAAAGTCAGAGAGAGACTGGGCACCTAAAGTTGTGCCCTCACCTACCTGGTGGTATATGCTGCCTGACCTCCCTGAATCCCTGCCTCCCCGCCCTTATTTTTTGAGTTGGAGTCTCACTCTGTTGCTGGTTAGAGTGCAGTGGCACGATCACAGCCACCACAGCCCCGACCTGCTGGGCTCCGGTGATCCCTTCGCCTCAGCTTTCCAAGTAGCTGGAACTATAGGTGCACACCACCACGCCCGGCTAATTTTTTGATTGATTGTAGAGATGAGGTCTCACCAAGTTGCCCAGGCTGGTCTCAAACTTCCAGACTCAGGCAGTCCTGGGATTACAGGCATGAGCCACTGTGTGTGCCTGGGCTGTCCTTTTTTTTTTGAGTTGGAGTCTCACTCTGTTGCCCAGACTGGAGTGCAGTGGACGCTCCCGGCCACCGCAGCCTCGACCTGCTGGGCTCTGTTGATCCTTCCGCCTCAGCCTTCCAAGTAGCTGTAACTACAGGCGCGTGCTACCATGCCCGGCTAGTTTTTGATTTATTGCAGAGATGCGGTCTCGCCAAGTTGCCCAGGCAAGTCTCGAACCCGCGGGCTCAGGCAATCCACTCACCTCAGCCTCCCAAAGGCGTGGGATTACAGGCTGAGCCACCGAGCCCAGCTGGGCTGAGTCCTTATCAAACTTTTAAAACCACCTGGGGAGCCTGTTGGGCAAGAAGAAAGTGACCCAGAGACATGGCATTGACTGAAGGGGGAAAAAGAGCCACAGGCACGTCCCTTCCACCGGGGCCTCTTTGCTCCTCTACAGCATTGGCGAGGGTGTCCCGTGCCAGCACCTCCCCTTTCCAGGGACAATGCTCCCTCTGTGAGCATTTTATGGGGATGTTTTCTTTTCTCCACTTCACTTTTCAAGCCTTCCTTGTTTATGCTGCTGTGTTCCCTCTTCCTGATTCTGGCCCTTGGGGGCCTTGGGAAGCCTCCCCAGCAGCATGGGCCCTCGGGGCCCACATGAGGTTGTTGGCTTGGGGTCCTATCTCAAGCCCACAGCCCCCAATGCTTCTGTGGGGCAAGGACTACTCCCTGTTCCCTGCGTGGCCTCGGGCTGTTGGAGAAGAGGGAGAAGCCGGAGCCACAGGTGATGGTGGCTGAAGGGTGGGATAGGTAGGAACCAGCTCTGGGAGTTTGGGGCGAGACCAGGGACAGGAGGAAGCCCACCAGGCAGAACCACAAGCTCTGCATGAGTGTCTGAGTTTAGAGATTTTTGCTGGTTTGAGTGCTGGGGGAGTGTGCTGGAAAAGGGCAGCTCCCAGTGACGCTGGGCATCTGTGTTCCTTCAGGAGAGTCTGTAAAGGCTGGTGCCCCAGGATCTTGGGGTGAGGAAAGCTCTGCAGGAAATGAGTGGCAGGCCTGAGGCCTGGTCACCAGCAGCTTGGGAGGTGGCAGGACTACTTTTGCCTTTGCTAAAGACATCTCCAACTGAGGACTTCTCCAGCAAGCTCATCCCCAGGCCTTCCTTCCTCTGGTGTCTGGTAAGTGTGAGGACGGGAAGGAGGGGCAGGCCTTGGCCTGGCTGTGTCTGGCTGGGGTGTTCTGTTGGGGTGGTGCCACTGGGTGGGGCTTAAAGGGAAACCAAGACCATCTGTGTCCCAGAGGAAGCTGATGACTGTTCAGAGCCAGCAAGTCCATGGCTCTGGCATCACAACCCCTGATACCTCCAGGCATCGCCATGTCTTTTACAGGGTAAGAAAGTGACTTGGCCTTCTGGGGAATGCTCCTATGCCCTTGGGCCTGCCACCTTCCCATGCTTCCTGTACTTCCTGTCTCTCTCTCTGTGTGTGTGTGTGTGTGTGTGTGTGTGTGTGTGTGTGTGTGTACACACGTGTGCTATTGTCCCCAGCACTATAGAACTAGGGGCAGAATTGGGAATCACCCCCCAACACACATGCCCCACTAGCACTACGAGGGCATGCCTCTGTTTTGGGTTTTCTATACCTTCTGATCCCCAAGATTTTTTCCCTACAACAGGTAGAAAGACCAGACTGAGCAAAAGTCTCTTGAGAATTCTAGTTTAACCAGATTTGGGGAGGAAAGAGCTTAAGGAAGGCGGTGTTGAGCATTTCTTTTAGCCGATCAACCATAGAGAGAAAAGCAGGCCAGACCCCAGGCACTAACTCCCAAGCCCTTGGTGGCAGGGGACAGACACTGAAGATTTCCATGAGCTTCACCAGAGTGCCAGGAGCCACAGGAAGGAAAGTCAACAATCCAGCCTGGAACAGTGTTTGCTTTGGAAATGCAGGACCTTCCAGTTAGACTGAATGTACTCAGGAACAGGGGTGAAAGGTCAGAGCTGGGGGCCCTGGGGTCTTTGAGGAGGCCCTGGATGTCCCACCCTGGACCACTCCCTTTGCCTCTTCTCCTCTCTGCGTTTAGTTTCCCAATGAACTAATATAGTTTGCAGTTGGCAGGAGAGAAGGTGTAGTGTAGTAAAAAGACAACTGGCATTTGGGAGTCAAGAGCTGGGTTTGGGCCTCAGTTCTGTCCCAACTAGCTCCTTAATCTTGGGGCAGATTATTAAACTTCTGAGCTTCAGTATCTAAGTATGTGAAATGGGCCCATCTCCAAGGTCCCAGCGGGTATGAGATCTTGTCTATGGTTCAAACAGATGGACCGTTGTGCACACTTGGATGCTCCCTTCTTTCCCATTTGTTTATCCCTATGGCTTCCTCTCCCTGCATTTGTGTCCCTTTCCTCTTCCCCCACCTGTGTTCTAGGTGTCCCAGTGCCACCCACAGGAGTTATTTTCTCAGCTGTAGTCCTCATGGCTAGAGGAGCTTCAGGACCGCTGAAGCCAGCAGCCGCAGCCACTTCTGTCCCTCCCTCCCCACCCCTGCCCGCTCACCCCCCACTGGGATCTGCCCACTGTGTCTAGGGTGAGCCGCCTCTGACCATCTCATCCCCTGGGACTGTTCCCACAATGGAGCCATTCTCTGTGGACACTGCCAGGCACATAGGGGTCCGGTGTCTGGCTCTTCCTGATTCCTCGCTGCTGGCTTCTATGCCCCACCAGTCCCTGGGGAGACATCCCCCTTTGGCTGTGCCAGCACTGGTTGGGTCAGCTACAGGTGAATTCGAGCCCTGACTGTCTGCCTCGTTCTGTTCTCCAGGGAAGATGGGCATGATGACTGACTCCCCTTTCCCAGAGCTGTGGCAGTCCAAGGCGGTGTCCATCCGTGAGCGACTGGGCCTTGGGGACCGGCCCAATGACTCTTACTGCTACAACTCAGCCAAAAACAGCACCGTGCTCCAGGGGGTCACCTTTGGTGGCATCCCCACCGTCCTGCTTATAGACGTCAGCTGTTTCCTGGTAAGAGCCCTTATGAATCGGATCCCCACCTCCCTCGGTGATTTGTTTAAATCCCCCACCCAAGGCCTGCTGGAACACTCAGGTGAGGAGTCAGAGATGCCTGGGTTTAAATCCTAACTTTGCTGCTTACCAGCTCTGGGGCCTTGGGCATGTTACACAGTTGGGTGGGCCTCAGGTGTCTACTCTGGAAAGTGGAGATGATAATTCCTACCTCAGAGAACTTTGGAAAAGGTTAGACAAGGTCATGCATGTAAAGACCACGCCTGTGGTTATTACCATTATTGCAGAGCTATTGGCCTGTCACATCTTTTTTTTCTTTTTTTTTTGAGTTGGAGTCTCACTATGTCGCCCAGACTGGAGTGCAGTGGCCGCTCCCGGTCACCGCAGCCTCACCTGCTGGGCTCCGGCGATCCTTCCACCTCAGCCTTCCGAGTAGCCAGAATTACAGGCATGCGCTACCACGCCCAGCTGATTTTTTGATTTATTGTAGAGATGAGGTCTCGCTGCCCAGGTGGGTCTCGAACCCGCGGGCTCAGGCAATCCACCCACCTCAGCCTCCAAAAGGTGCGGGATTACAGGCTGAGCCACCAAGCCCAGCTGGCCTGTCACATCTTTAAGGCCCTTGGGTCCATCTCATAGGGATAAGAGATGTGAATGGAGAGTATGGACTGGAATTAGAGCAGTTTTGATTTCCAAATGTCACCTCCTGTTCACTCTGAGCTTTTTTTTTTTTTTCGAGTCAAAGTCTCACTGTTGCCCAGACTAGAGTGCAGTGACATGATCACAGCTCACTGCAGTTGACCTCCTGGCTCACATGATCCTTCTGCCCCAGACTCTTGAGTAGCTGGGGCTATAGGCACATACCACCACACCCCGCTAATTTGTTTTTGTTTTCTTGTTTGTTTTTTAGATTGGAAAATAACGATTTATTTAGAAAGTAAATTAGAGAGTGAGAGAGATATTCACCTTCCCAAGGTAGGGGAGGGAACCAAAGCCAAGAAAACACGGTGACCAAAGCTCAAGGAGCCACATGGTCAGACCATAGCTTAGCAGAGCAATGGCCCAGCTAATTTTTTGATTGTAGAGACAAGGTTTCACTATGTTGCCCAGGATTATCTTGATCTCCTGGGCTCAAGCAATCCTCCTGCCTCAACCTCCCAATTGTGGGGATTACAGGCATGAGCCACCGCACCCAGCCAACCCCCGGGTTTTGTACAGAATCAGAAACTGATTCTCAGAACTGACCCACGGTAGGAGGCCTTTCTTTAATGTAGATCCTCTTGTTCACAGAGATACCTCTAATTTGAAATATGTCTTTATTCTTCCTTGTACTGACTCAGCATTGGCTAGTTGAGATTTATTTGAAGTACACCTTCTTTTCACAAATGCCATGGGGTGGTTGGGCCCCCTTGATGCTGTCTCCTATCACATAGCAAAGACTATCTGAGTAAATGGGGTAAGATGGAGTAGATACCCTTGGTCTGCCTGGGTCCAGAGATTGGGCTTGGGTGGGGGACCTGGAAGGGAGAGTGAGGGCAGCATGAGGGCCCCAGTCCCTGGGGGGAAGAGGCCATAGGAGGAAGAAAGGGAGGTACCAAACGCGTTTGCTGGCACCAAAAATATTTCCTTTCTTCCCTTTTTCCTTATTTCCTTTCTTTCACCCCTTCCTTCCTTTCTTTCACCCTTTCCTTCCTTCCTTCCTTCCTTCCTTCCTTCCTTCCTTCCTTCCTTCCTTCCTTCCTTCCTTCCTTCCTTCCGTCTCATTGTGTAGCCCAGGTTGGCTTTGAACTCCTAGGCTCAAACAGTCCTTGCACTTCAGCCTCTTGAGTAGCTGAGACCACAGGTGCCTTCCTATTGTTCAATCCCAGAATTAACTCAGTCTGAATTGTTGCATTAAAGTCTTGTTGCACTATTGGTCCTTTTATGAACTGATGTGGGAACCTGCACACTGCCCACTTTGCTTTCTGGTAACAGGGCTCTCTATTTTTCTTTTCTTTCTTTTTTGAGTCAAGAGTCTCACTCTGTCACCCAGCCTGGCACGCAGTGGCACACTCACGGCCACCACAGCCTCAGCCTGCTGTGCTTCCTCCTCTGCCTTCCAAGTAGCTGGAACTACAGGCTTACACCACCTCGCTTGGCTAATTTTTTTATTTATTGCAGAGACAGTCTCACCAAGTTGCCCAGGCTGGTCTTGAACCCCTGGGCTCAGGCAGTCTACTCGCCTTGGCCTCCCAAAGTGCTTGAGGCTACCGTGCCCAGCCTCTATTTCTCTTTTTTTTAGAGACGAGGTCTCACTATGTTACCAAGGTTGGCCTTGAGCTCCTGGGCTCAAGCGATTCTCCCACCTTGGCCTCCCCTGTGAGCCACCATGCCCAGCTGCTTTTCTTTCTCTGAATGTTAAATAACTTATTTTGTGGAGCTAGAACCCATTTGTAGGTTGAGCACACTGGCGTGTAAACCAGCCTTGGTGGAGAGGCAGGCGTAGGCAGGGGTGTGGGAGTGGATTTGAGAGTCGGTGGGATTAATGTAGGAGGGTGGCCCTGGGTCTTCAGCGTGGGGAGCGTTTAGCCGAGGTGAGGAGTCTGGCAAGGGAGGCTAGGCAGGCTGGGGGGGTATGACTGTAGCAGGGCTGGCTGGGAAGAGTCACTCTTCACTGGCGTGTGCAGGTGGGGAGGATTTTTATTGCAGGGGTTTATGGAAGGGGGAGGGGGGACACATGAAAGCCAGAGGGAAATGGAAAGCAGGGGTGTGTGGGAAATGTCCACACTACACATGCCAACACAGCAGCTGCCGAGGACAGGGGCAGGCACCTAACAAGCAGGCTTTGTGTTTTTCCTACAACATGACTCACCTGCCTTTGAAAATATATCACCAACTTCCTGATTCACCTTGAGAAAATCACACAAGAACTCAGTGCCTCTGGGATTCGATTCAGGGCCTCTGGATTTCCTTGAAGAAAACAAAACACTCCTTTATTTATTTATTTATTTTTGAGTTGGAGTCTCACTCTGTTGTCCCGACTGGAGTGCAGTGCACCGCAACCTCGACCTGCTGGGCTCCGGCGATCCTTCCGCCTCAGCCTTCCAAGTAGCCGGAACTACAGGCGTGCGCTACCATGCCTGGCTAATTTTTGATTTATTGTAGAGATGAGGTCTCACCAAGTTGCCCAGGCGGGTCTCGAACCCGTGGGCTCACGCAGTCCACTCACCTCAGCCTCCCAAAGGCGCGGGATTACAGGCTGAGCCACTAAACCCGGCTAAAACACTCCTTTAAAACCCCAGTTTCTGAGCAGAGAGATAGGGGTATGCTTATTTAAAAGTATGTCAAGACCTCATCTCTACAAAAAATTTTTGAAAAACTAGCCAGGCATGGTGGTGTTCACCTGTAGTCCCAGCTACTTGGGAGGTTGACGTGACAGGATTATTTGAACCCAGGAGGTCGAGGTTGTGGTGAGCTATGATTGTGCCACTGCACTCCAGCCTGGGTGACAAAGTGAGACCCAAAAAGGAGAAGCCGGGCTCGGTGGCTCAGTCTGTAATCCCGTGCTTTGGGAGGCTGAGGTGAGTAGATTGCCTGAGCCCACGGGTTCGAGACCCACCTGG